AAGACCTTTGACAAGTCACTTAACCTCTCTGTGCCTCTGTCCCTATCTGTAAATCAGGCACAGAAACAGAGGTTAGGAGTGAGGATTAAATTATGTCAGATCCTTAGAACAGCGTCTGGTATACAGTAGGTATTATCCATAAACTTTAGTTTGTCATTATTAGCCCATTGTATATACCAAATGTGTTGGTGATAATCCAATGGCTGCATAGGAATCAATGATTTGCTAGAATATACACTTAAAACTAGGAAAGGAAAAATTACTTTTCTAGAACATAAAAGAAAATCCTGAAAACCAATGAATATATACCCACAAGTTTCCCCTAGTCTTAACATTAAAAAGTGTGCTGAATGGAGGAATAACTTTCCCAATTGCAAAGTTTTTATTTGGAAAAAACAAGATCCTATAGCCATATGAAAAGTTTGTTGACAAAATGCTGTTTACCAAAAGATACTAAGCATTCAAATCACTTGACTTAATGTGTCTATTTTATGCAACTGAACTATTAACATATTTCCATATTTACTTTTCTCTTTGTGATGCACAATTTTCCTTATTCAAGAAAGGAAAATGTTTTTAAAATCCAATCGCTAGTCTATCTAAGTAACTTCTGGCAAGAATAGGATTTGTAGTAATAGTCATGTCTTAATTAGGCCCACCTGAACTTACTGAAATTTGAAATAAAGCACTGAGTTTTTTCTCTGCTTACATTAAAAAAAAAAATCTTATCCTGATTTCAGATGAGAAAGTTTTCTATGGTCAAATTGCTGTGAACATTTTAAATATGAAGTATGTTACTGCAGCTCACCTGTAGAGAGCTTCGTTTTAATAATTAGATGCACAAAGTGGAAACCACGAATCAGTTGAGAGCTACATGAATGCGTGGCACCTGAACACGTGTGCTCTTGTCTTGGATGGAAACACGATGCTGGTGCCATTTCATTCTCAGGACTTCCTTTTAAATGGAAGCCCAGTAAAGAGCTATAGGTTTATATTAATGCTCTCGAGTATTACGTAGGCTCACCAGAGCGGACTCCATTTTGGTGAATTCAACAAAGCCCTGGAGCTTTTTTTTTTTTTTTTTTTTTTTTTTTTTTTTTTTTTTTTTGAGACGGAGTCTCGCTGTGTCGCCCAGGCTGGAGTGCAGTGGCGCAACCGAGCAGCTGGAATTACAGGCACTCACCACCACGCCTGGCTAATTTTTAGTATTTTTAGTAGAGACGGGGGTTTCACCGTGTCAGCCACGATGGTCTCGATCTCCTGACGTCGTGATCCGCCCGCCTCGACCTCCCAAAGTGCTGGGATTATAGGCGTGAGCCACCATACCTGGCCACTCTGGAGCTTTTTAAGCGTATGAAGAAGTTAAAAAAAAAAAAAAAAAAAGACAACGTAACATGTCAAAGAAGAAGAGAGGAGAAAAGAGTATTATAACCTCTGTCATAAAGCTAGCAGAAACAAACCAAAAAAAGTATGAAAAAGTTATCCTTGAAGGATACTGACTGGGCTTGAGAAAAAAGCTGCAGGAGCACTTGAAGTATTTTTCCCAAGGAAAGGCTTTCTTCACTCCCCCACCATCCCTTTTGGGTTTTCTGTTATCTGAGAGCCAGTAAATAATGCTTCATACTCCTTAATAATGATGTTTTGGTCTTAATTCATTGGCAACTCATCGGCAAAAATGCAAAATCGTGTTTCTCCAGAGGCTGACAATTTATAGAAAAACGACAAAGGATAAGGTAAGTCATGTCCTAAGCAAGCTGATAATAGAGAAATAAATGTCCACTTGATAGCTAATCTTTTACAAATGAAAATTGGTTGCTAGGTTCACTAAGTATGCTACAAATCTATAATTTAGAATTAAAGAGTATTCTAGTTTTTATATGTTTTCACAAAAGTATGTTCAAAAATTCTCTATTAATTTTTGTTCTTGTAAACAGTCTGTAAAAACATAATAAAACTAGATGAAAACTATTTTGTGTAAGAATATAATTTCAGTTGATCTTTTTCATGTAAATTGAAGTATATGGTACATAAACAATAAAGAACTGCTCACTACATGCAGTACCTTGGAGCAATGCCTCTTAGCATGTTGTTCACTGTACCAGCAGCATAGGCATCACCTGGGAGCCTGTCAGAAACGGACATTCTTGGCTGAGTGCAATGGCTCATGCCTGTAATTCCAGCACTTTGGGAGGCCGAGGTGGTTGAATCACTTGAGGTCAGGAGTTCGAGACCAGCCCAGGCAACATGGCAAAAACCCAACTCTTCTAAAAATACAAAAATTAGCTGGGTGTGGTGACTTGTGCCTATAGTCCCAGCTACTCAGGAGGCTGAGGCGGGAGGATCGTTTGAGCCCAGGAGGTGGAGGTTGCAGTGAGCGCGTGCCACTGCACTCCGGCCTGGGTGAGAGGAAGAGACCCTGTCTCAAACAAACAAAAAAGTAGAATCTGAGGCCCTATCCCAGGTCCCCTCCATCAGCATCAGAATCTTGTTAGCTCTCCAAAAGATTCTGCTGCCTGCTTTAAGGCAGTGATTGTGAAGGCAGAATCGGTGTGTCAGGGGGACCTCCTGAAGAGACACCAGCCAGGACTCTGCCCTGGGGGCCTGGAGGGAAGAGGAGCAAAGGCACCTGCATTTTAAAGCTTCACAGTGATCTGAGGCAACTTCTTGGTTATGAATCCATCCTTTAAAAATATTTTAACTAAAATCTTGGACTAAAACTTCTCATTATTGTCAATAAACCTTACCCTTGCTAGTAATCCAATTTGTTCCATACAACAGGTGGTCGTGGGAGATTAGAAACACATGTATTTCACCTTTTTCTCTTACTGACACTCTAATCATCAGAATTTCTTCTCAATTCAAAATAGAAGATTCTCTATTGCTGTTATTCAAAATAATTACCTTCTTGCTAGGTAAAGTCTCATCGAAGGTAACACTTTAATTTCTTTTCCAGCTTGATGCCATTCTGGCCTCCCCCGACTTCCTCAATGCTAATAATCCTTCCTGTATTCTTAGCTTAATATTAAGCAATTTTACTTTATTTACATCTAATAATTGATACTTGTTAAAATATTGACTGGTAAATAACAATGAAAACAGGGAGCTTTTAAAAAAATAGAATTGTTTTATTTAAGTAGGCTATATGCCATTTAGCCTATTTTTTTCCTTAAAATACTTAATAACTTCCATGAAGACTGTACCAGACATACTTAATAAGCAAACTTCTTAGTAAAATTACTTTAATTCAGCATATGTTCCTGCCTTCAATAAACATTAAGCAAGAAACAGGTTTATACTTATTATACTTCTTAGGTTGAACTAAAATCAAGATTTCACACAGAGAGTATTTTTAGGCGTGATTTTGTTTTGACAGAGGGAACATGAGAAACAGAAGCCTCTCAGCCAGGTGCAGTGGTGCACACCTTTAGTCCAAGCTGCTCAGGAGGCTGAGGCAGGAGGAGAGCCTGAACCCAGGAGTTCCAGGCTGCAGTGCTCTATGACCCACGCCTGTGAACAGCCACTGCCCTCCAGCAAGGGCGACACAGCAAAACCCCATATCTAAAACAAACAAACCAAAACCCACAAACCTTTCATCTTTAATTAAAAGAAAGGAATTGTGACCATATGTTATGAAAAAGACTTCTGACTTTACTCATCTGTTCAACGAATTAACCAACTGCACTTTCCTATACTCCAAATGGCAATACCATTGCAACCATTTTAAAATTATCAAATTATATTCAAAATTATTATGAATTGGGCCAGGTGTGGTGGCTCATACGTGTAATCCCAGCACTTTGGGAGGCCAAGGTGGGTGGATCACCTGAAGTCAGGAGTTTGAGACCAGCCTGGCCAACATGGTAAAACCCTGTCTCTACTAAAAATACAAAAATTAGCTGGGTGTGGTGGCAGGTGCCTGTAATTCCAGCCACTTGGGAGGCTAAGACAGGAGAATCGCCTGAACTGAGGAGGCAGAGGTTGCAGAGATAATGCCACTGCACTCCAGACTGGGCGACAGGAGCAAGACTCTGTCTCAAAAAAAAAAAAAATTGGCTGGGCGCATGGCTCACGCCTGTTAACTCCAGCACTTTGGAAGGCCGAGATGGGCAGATCACAAGGTCAGGAGATCGAGACCCTCATGGCCAATGTGGTGAAACACTGTCTCTATGAAAAATACAAAAATGAGCTGGGCGTGCTGGCACGTGCCTGTAGTCCCAGCTACTTGGGAGGCTAAGGCAGGAGAATCACTTGAACCTGGGAGGCAGAGGTTGCAGTGAGCTGAGATCACCCCACTGCACTCCAGCCTGGTAACAGAGCGAGACTCTGTTTTTAAAAAAAAAAAAAAAAGAATCAATTTGTACCCATAGGCAGAAGATGAAAAAAGTGAAGTCTCTTTTTTCCTACAAAGCAATATAAAATACTGTGCATGCTCATATTATCAATGAATATCTGTTGTTGTTCTATCCTAGAATGAGCATTTAAAAGTTTTCTTCCCTCAAAGCAACCACGGTAGGCAGATACATTTTCCTTTAGAATTCTTCAATATGCAAGCTACACAAGAAAACTGTTCTCATCAGCCATAATTACCCATTTTACTGGGATTAAAAAGGGCATTTCCTGGATGAACACCAACCTTATTCATTCCCGCTTAGCTCTAAATTAATTTTGGTGGCTTAAAAAAATTAAGTCTGCCTTCAATGGAGAAAGAGACGTCACTACTAATGACATTCAAAGAAACAGTATCATAGTAACATTCCAAAATTATCTCAAGTAATAAAGAGCATCAGTTCTGGAATAAGGGCATAGTTTCTCCAGTTAAATATGACTCATTTTGATGTGAAGCATGACTAACTTAGATTTTAAAAGTCATGTGATGTTCCCCATATGAGTTAGGTATCTTATACTCCCTCCTAGAATCATCCAGAAGTAACAAAAATATGTGTTTTTCATAAGCAAATCTAAATTTCTAGTTGGGCAATAAGATAGCATAACTGAAACAATTAAATTTAAGATATTTATTAAATAAAAAGGTTACATTATTTTTATACACTGTTGAAAACAATGACTTTTATTTATTTAAAGCCAGCAGTAGTTCCCATTACTCTCATAATGTTATAGTTAAGCCTTGATTTAGTTCCAGAAAATAAATAGGGTAAAATTTTAATGTTTCCCTAGCTCTGTCTGCTATAAGGGAATTTCAGAGTATGAAGGTAAGATGAAGCAGATGTAGAAGAACATTTTTAGATGCTGACAATTTTTCCTTAAAATTTAGTTTCTTCTCAAAATTCTGTACTTCTATCCATAAAAGTAAATTTCTATTTTAGTAGCTCTAAAACAACCAGGCGAGAGAAGATTATTACCCATAATAGTAAATAGCAAATACTTTGGCAAGTCTGAATTAGAATACAAGTGAAGACATTCACAAACACACTTTTTACATCTCCTGGACGTGGTATGGGCTGTATGTTAGAATTAAAGCATCACAACTATCTGATTGTAGGGTGCTGGTGGGCAATGCAATCAATCAACACGTCTACCCCAACAGATGTGGAGACGCATGGAAAAAAATATGTCAACCAAAGTGGCTGGGCAGAACAAAACACATAAAACACCATAAAACTGAGAACATTATCTCTTCTTGTCTGAAAAAAGGGATTCCCTGGAGCACAGAAAGTATTTATCAGGGGAGTGCTTCTATTCTGTTATCACAGGAGGGATTGATGCAGATTCCGGCCATTCATACACATCTGGCAGCAGGGAATCATATTCACTCCGCCATATTCTTTCTTTAACATATTTGGCCTTGTCTTCAGGTTCTGGGTATCGGAAAGCCATTTTATTAGCATATAGGTATTCTGTAACCTGAAAAATAAATAAGGTTATTGTGTAGGCTCTGAGTATTAACCTATTAGAGAGACAACGTACTATTATAACACAGGAAAATAAGTTTAAAAGAATGGCAGTTTTCTTTTTTCAAAATAAAAAGTAACATTACTTTGACTCCTTTCAAAACATTTGGAAGCTATGGAAAGTTTAAAAGATAAAACCAAACACATTTAAGTTCTACTGTGTATGATTCAAGTAAATACATTTAGGTAATCTGCCCGGCCTATGTCATTCCTCCCAGTCTTGCTGAAAGGGTGGCCTTTCTAGAGGGCCACAGAGACTATTTCCTAATCATAGCCAACTTGACCAGGATGAAAACCCAACCCAAGGTGAGGAGAGGTTTCTACTCTAGAATTTGGATTAAGAGGCATAGTAATTATTATAAATCAGGAGTTAGACACCAGAACTATAAAGTCAAGTAAATTCAGAGCTACAACCTATACATGGGAACTGACACCACTATCACTGACTGCCAGGCATATTCTGTGTGTTTTACAAGGATACCTCCTTTACTCTCCACAAGAACCCCATGAGGTAAGTACTATCTTTATTCTCATTCTGCATATGAGGAATGAGAGGAGTTTAAGTAATTTGCCCAAGGTAGTTACGTGAGAGCTGTTTCAAACCCAAAGCATTCTGAGTCTAGATATTAGACCCTCAACAGTAAGCTTGATTACTCCCCACCAAAGGTGGCTTGAATTTCAAATTTTGCACCCAAGCCACATACCATGATTGGTGGTGAGAATAAGCCTTTGAGCCTCAGTTCTGATATAAAATGAGGAATGTGAAACGCTTCCTCACAGGGTAACACAGTGCCTCTCACACAGTAAAGTTCTCAAGTCATGGCTTTCTTTCTTTCTTTTTCTTTCTTTCTTTTTTTT